TTCTTCCTAAACGACACCGAGAAATTTCCATCGGCCCAAAAGTCAGTTAACCAAACTATGTATAAAGACAATCTCGCCGGTTAACCGACTTTTGGTCCACCCCGTATAATGTTACTTACTTATATTTAAACAGAGGAAAACTTATTAAAGCATCAAAATTAATAAAATAAACGTATTTATGATTAATATCGGTTTTATAAAATATTTTTTTTGGGGGGGTATTAAACGGATCGTTTTTAAAACGTTTTAAATTGTATCACTTTATAAAAGATGGGTCCAGAATAAATTATTAAACGTAAATTCAATTTAAATTAGAATTTAATTAATAACGGTATCAATAATTTATACCGAGCTGAATCTGTAATCAATTGCGGAATATCGACTTTCCTTGAATAATATTTAACAAATATTAATATTCTAGGTAATTTTAACTTTTAATAAACTTCGTATAATATTCATTTAATGTTTATTAAAGTATTTAATCGATAATTCCCAAAATTTTCAATATAAAATACGAATTTATTCACAAATTTTTTCCTTCACTTCTTCTTAATTCTGTTGGTTTACCTCGGTATAACGCTTTTCGTTTGCTCGAATTTTTTGTGATTTTTATTAAGCAACGAGTTGCGTAACTTTCCCGGCCAAAAAAAAGTTATCCCATGGAAAAAAAAACAATTGCGGCCCCTAATACAAATTTTCCCGGGCCCCACGAAGCTATAACGAGTAAAATCTTCGTTCCCACTTGAGATACGACTAGCGACACTCCTCCATCTTCTGACCCCCTTGACCTTTAACCACCGAAATCGATATTGACGCTATTAAAGCGTCAATATCGATAATATACGAACCTCTCTGCAAAACTTTAGAGATTTTCAACAAAAGGCACGGGCGTTATTAAGTTTCAAAGTGGATGTAGAAAACTGTGTCCTCCACCCACCCGCCCACACACACACACACACACACACACACACACACACACACACACACAGAGACATAGACATAACAGAAATACATACGTGATTTTCTTAAACGAACTTTTCTCTTTAATATTTCAGTTCCTAAATTATCGACTTTTTAAAGTTCTTGGAATAATTATCTTCTTCAATACAAAAAAAAAACATGTGGCCCATCTGCCAAGAGGGGGTGCCTCCTACTTTATTTGGGAAACTGGTCCTGTTTAGGTGTTAGACACGTAAAGAAAACCCAGAAATCTCCACGTGATAACCGGTTTGTGAGGCTCGAACCCTCGAACAACCATCACTGTTCAATAGCCATCACCGATCCACTGGTAGGCCCTTCAATACGAAAATTTTTCATTAAAATATTGTAAAATGTTTTCTATTTTTGTATATTATTTATTTAATTTTTGAAACATTTAAATAGTAGCTATATCTAGGGCCTCTGTGAGAGGACCTACTTATAGTTATTAGTCTGTATCAGTGGCAGATCGAGAGAGGCCCGTGTCATTTACCTCTCGAGACCTCCACTATGTTGAAAAATTGTATTAGTATTTTTTAAATAGTAAAACTTTGCAAGAGATAAAGACTTGTTACATAAAGAATTTACAAGAAATTCAAGAAAACAAATTACCCGTAACAATTGTTTTAGAGGCCTTGCTGGCTTTGTGATAGACTGTTTAGTCGGCGAAGTAACAAGATTCCATAGAACCTCGCAGTGCTAGGACCCTAGGAATCTAAAGAATTTCTAGGAAGGATACTCAGGAAAGAAGAGGAGGCATAAATCTCTAATTAAAATGGCTTTCATATGACTTAAGTGGGGTCTTTCTGATGATATCTGGATTTGCTGTTAGGTTTTGTTTTAGTTAATTTCTATACGTCAAAGCGACACTGCCGAGGAGGGATGCTCCGAGAGTACTTTCTATAGGAAAGTGGTCCCTATTTGGGTGCTACTAAAGTGAAGATAATCCGGAAAAATCCATGCGACAAGCCGTTGGCCAGGCGCGAACTCATGACTGACTACCAGTGTTAAGTGATTTTATTCACTCGACAGGAGGAACGGGCCTCTAATTAAAATGACTTTAATCTGGGCCTTTGTAGATTCGTTACAAGGATCCCACGCTGCACTGTACAATGAAATAAACGATCCTTATAAATTTTCCAAGTAAAATTTATTCCTTTAAAAGAAAATGTAAAACAGAAATTGTTGAAAACTTTGGCAAACTTATCATTATTAAATGGCGTTGTTGTTTGCTGCCCGGAACACTCGCACGAGACAAGTTAATCCTTATTATGAAAATGGATATTGTCTAGACGATTCTTTCACACAGAATTCAACTAAATTGCTGGAAAGATTTGTGTACTCTACATGCTTATGAAAGTATGAAATAAAAGATTTTTATATTTTAAAATAAAAACATTTGTCACTGTTCTTCGTGTTAAAATTCTTTATTTATTAATGCACTTCTGAAAAATTTCGATATTGTCGACGACGGCATTGACATTTTTCATAAAAATCTATTATAAAAATAATAATGATATAAAATTTATGAAAATCGTAAATAAACAGTGCTCGGTAAGAAACAATTCGGTAATTTTATGTTAATTTTAATTTGAATTAACAGCACTAATCACTAATAATTGGTCACGGGTTCGCACCCGACCAGTGTGGAGTTACTTCACGTGTGTAACATCATATTGAAGGGTCTACCAGTGGCCGAGTGAATAAAGTCACTAAACACTGGTTAGTGTCTCACCAAGGACTGCACGTGGAGTTCTGGGTGGGGGTGTTTACACTTTACAATGTGACGTAAGTTAAAATATCACCCTCCGCGTGCCGTACATTATTCCTTAGTAAAATTAAGAGATTCGATCGAGGATATGCTTACAAAATTTCGGGGATGGGTAGGAAGCGTTATGTGAAGGTGGGGCGTGATTGCACGCGCGCCCGCTACTGTATACATTTGAAATTATTAACGTCTAAAGCCCACCAATGGCCGGACCGAACACTGGTGGGTTCGCACCTGGCCACGCGAAGTTTATTCACGTTAGTAATACCTAAATAGGTGTTTCTTTCGGGAGGCATCACCCTCGGCAGATCCTTCATGTGTCTCCTCGTCGTATACAAACAAAACAAATTCATGTGTAAAATTGCTCGAGGACTTTATAATCACCTCCTGTAAAAAAATTTAAAATATATACGTACGTACATAAACTATTTCATACGTCAGAAGTTGGTGTAATCTCTGTAAACCTGTTTAGTGTCATTATGGCCTGGCTGTCAAGATAACAGAAATTTTCAAGATTCCAATGGATGCCGAGTAATTTCGATAATTCGCTGTCAATAGGATCTTCTCGACTGCGTGAAGAAATTTAATATAAATCTATTGATGTATGTTTTATTTTTTTAAAGTAAAGAGCTGATAAGATTCGTATATTTAAAGTGAAAGCAATTTAATAAATATTTGATTAAAATTTAAATAAAGTTTATTGTGATTGTCTTTCAGTATATAATCTACAGTTTAGAAGAGTTAGGGCTTTGTATACATGTATTTTTCTTTTTGAAATTTTTTCTGTGATTTGCCTTTTTTTCATTTTTCTGTAATTTGCATTTTTTATGATTTTATTTTGTGTTTTTGATGATTTCCCCTATCATTTAAGAATAAATTACAGAAAAAGTAATCACCAATAATAATAAAACTAAAATATTTCTCTGTATACATTAGCATGTAAAAACTTAGATAAATATTATAAATAATAAGTAAAATTAATTATTTAATAGAAAATTCTATATATATTCCAAGCAAAAATTTATTAAATTGCCCCCGCAGCCGAAAAAAAAAATATAATTCTATCAAGAATAAAACGTAAAACAAGTTTTCAATATTGAGAAAAATTTTATGCTTTATATTTTTATAAAAGATAGAGATATTTTATAGAATTTTTCCGAAATTTTATTGATTTATTATGTTGTAAACAATATAATATAAATAAAAGGATATAAGGTAGTGGCTCGTTATCTTATGGGCAAAAAGGATAATTGCCTGAAGAACCCCACCAACAGAGGCCCCAAACCAATCTTTTATAAGAAAATATTCCTCCAAAAAAATTTCCCCGAGGATACATCTCTGAAGTCAACATCGTACATAGGGCCCCCTAATTTAAATTCTCCTGGTCCCCGTGAATCAATAACGCGCCACTGATATAATCTATTGAATATGAAATTTTAGTAACTCTACATTAAGTATGTAGTGCCAATGAACTACCTTGATGGCCTTGATGGACGGTGATAAGGCCTGCATGAAATTATTTCATTCGTATAAGTCCACAATAACGTATAACTATCTAATAATCATACGTTATTTTGGTTTTTTTCTGTATGTTAGGTATATATGTGGGGGAGCACGATTATATTCATCCACTTTAAAGCTTAATAACTCCTGTGCCTTTAGTCGAAATTTTCTGAAAGTTTGCAGGGAGGTTTGTGTATTAGGGGTGGATGTCACTAGAATTTTTCAGGAAAATCAGACAATTGGTTCGGGAGATATTAAGGGAATGGGGTCATATCTCCCGAACGAATATAGACTTAAAGGTAATGCTATCAATTATTAGAAATGAAAACTAACAAAGAATGCCGGGAAAGTCCAGCAACAAAGTTGACAGCTTTGTTTTTGAGGCCCACCTCACGTGGGACCTCAAAAACATTTGTTACAAGTTATCATTCTGTAGTATCTTTGTGTACTAAAAAGAAATCTTGTTTTTTGACCGTTTTGTATATTTACGAGGACCCAGAAATGGCCTTCTTTAAATTTTAAGAGCCCCTAGCTTCATAAAATTAGATCCTAAATATTATTTAGAATTAAAATTAACTATTTTGATAAATTAAAAATTGATTTTTACANATAAATTATCTATAATTAATTATATAATAAAATAAATAATTATTTAAAGTTATAAAAATAGCTTTTGAGGTTGGGTTAAAGTGTAAAAAATTCAAAAGTTAAGGAAACTCTGATTGGCTGATGACTATTGTTTTCTCATAAAAGACTCGTTTTTGAAACACGTATGACGTTAACGTTTCGTCACATGGTGACATATTGCAGTGAAACTAGTTTATTATCCTTCACTGAACTGCAAGGATGAATATTAAGAAGATAAAATTCGATTTCAGTTTTATTTTATTAATTTCTTTATGCAGTAAGTTTCTTGTTTTTTAATTTCAATAACATCCAACTAAAGTTAATTAAATTTATTTATAATTTAATTATCAATACCTTTAACTTTTTTATGTTTTATGGTACAATCTTCTTGAGTGTATAATAATAACATGTAATGGCTTCGTTCTTAATGCCTTACTATAAATAATAAGGCACAACTCAATAATTAATTGCAATCAAATATTCAATTCTTAAGCCACTTAGCATATATATTTATATTGTAATTAGCAAAACTAATTGATTTTTTATTGATAAACATAATTTAATATCCTGTAAAAAATATATATATTTAGGATATTTTCACAGCACAAGTCAAAGCAAATATTATTTAATTTTTTATTAACAGAAACTTTGTCCAGATAATGAAAATATTATTTGATCAAGGTTCTATTTCCAAATTGTTTACAGAAGATGAAATCTGTACTCTGGAATGTATTAGTAAATTGCTAGATAATATACAATAAACTGTCTATAGTTATACTGTTTCTATATGGTTTATCATAAGCAAAACGGAGAGTACAACTGATAAAACTGCTTCCAGCTTAACCAGTTATAGCTCACTCTTCACGTTTTGAAAAGTGTATATAACTGTATAAAAGATTATACTGGAATATTTTACAATTATACAGTTTCTATACAGTTTACACTGTGAAAAAAAGCATAAAGAGTAAGTTATATACGACTGTATAGCTAATAAACTGCATTCAATTTAATCCAATAACGTGCATATTCTCATACAATATCTTCATCTACAGTAGTGTACAGTACATTTGCACGTTTTAATTCGACTCCCTAATATCGGTATAGGTTTAAATTTTATAAAAATTATATTTTTATACAGTTTACCTTCTGAAAAACATAAGAGTAAACTGTATACGCCTGTTTAACTGATAAGCTACTTTCAGTTTATTTTGAATACAGTTTAAGTTACTTTATGTTTTGCAAAGGGCGTGTATAATAATTGTTAAACTGTATATAGGTTAAACTGAAAGTATAATTTATTACTTTTTATTAATAAAGACTAAACAGATAAATTTCATTCTTAGTAGAACAATGTACATGAATTAATGTCGTTTTAAAATAATAAATTTATTTACAAGAGTAAGTTTTTAAGAAGACCAGGCCCTATCATGGGAGGTAAGAAGACTATTAGCTCGGGCCTCGAAAAGTGCCACAAGTAAATAGTTAAGTGGCCCGAACCTCCGAGATGCCTCTTTTACAAGGTGTAAACATTGTAAAAATGCAGAAAGCATATGTTTCCTAGTCAAAAATGCACTCGAATCCCCCCTCATTTTATACGTAAACGTAACAGTTACGCATTTATACAAATATTTATCTGTATAATTAATTAATTACCATCTCAGAAAGTATCCCAGACGTTAAATCGGGGTTGTTGGGAAAATATTTTTGCAAAAATATATCGGAAACTTTGATAATTGGCCATTATTTTTCCGGTAGTTAATAAAATTTTCCAACAATAATAATAATAATAAAATCTGGTAACATAAGCGTTTTAAATGGCACGATATTTAAGTATCATAAAATTCGATGAGTTAAAAGATCATTAAATTTGTACGCTTAGTTTAAATTGAGATAAAGTAAACTTACTTCAAGACTATGGTTAATGTACCTAATGCAGTATTTAATACATTAAATAATGAATTATAAAGATATTAAGCGGGCAATTAACATTTCCGAATAAATTTTATAATGTTCGAAGTTTCTCTTCCTCGCGTGTATACGTTACAATACACGATATAATTAGACTATATATAACGATTATGCAGTGGAAACTTGATTCTATGTCGCGAAGGATGGCCCAAAAGTCAGTTGACCAAGTTTTAACTGATATGTGCCGGTTTAAACTGTAAACCGTTGTTATTTGTGCATTTTACGACTTTCTTTTAAAAGTTCGTAAGTAGTAAAGTAATTGAACAAGTTATTTAGTTTTTACAACGGTAAACTATCTTATGGGCCATTCTATTTAGAGAATATTTAGGCTACCGTTACACCAAGATTTACCAGTTAAATTTTTAGTTTTATATCAGTGAAAAATGTTTAAGATATTCAAATTAGATAACTTCTCATCATAATAAAATGTAGTTAAAAATATTTCTCAACAGTTTAATATTAAATAGATTGAGGTCAATTATCTTTCTTATGCAATTATTGGTAAGAGTTACCTGTTGTCTCTTAAGGATATTAATAAATCCTGACCCAGATAATCACAAAGCATTAATTGGTTTACCAGGTTCAAAAAACTTTAACTAGAAAGATATTAAAAAATAAATATCAATATATTTATAATTACAAATATTCAGATTTCTATAACTTAAATTCATTCTAATTAAGATAACTCATATTCTATAACTTTAATTCCAATTAAGATAACTCAGATTCTATAACTTTAATTCCAATTAAGATAACTCAGATTCTATAACTTTAATTCTAATTAAGATAACTCATATTCTTAAATTCTAATTAAGATAACTCATATTCTTAAATTCTAATTAAGATAATTTAACGATCTCTTTTAAAATATTTAAACTAATAACAACAATAAATTTTAATATTTATATTTATAAATATTTACAATAAAATTTAATACATTTAAATTTTGTATAAACATTTATTTAATTAATCAAAACAATTTCAATTTTTTATGATTTAAATCCACTCACAATTAAAATTAGGTAAATGTAATATTTATATTTATTAAAAATCAATTAATTATGTAAATATATTTAAATAATTTTAATTAAACAAATATTTATACAAAATCTGATATGTAAAATCTCATTGAAATTATTTATAAATATTAAATTTTTAATTGTAATTAGTTTAAATTTTCGTAATAAAGTCCTTATAAATTTTCTTACTTTAAGATTTCTTGCAAGAAAATTACAACTAAATTATAATTAAAAAGTTAATATTTATATATATTTTAAACATTTAACATCTTTGTATTAAAAAATTATTTAATAATAGTACAGTCGAAACTCCATTTAACGACCAACTGTAAATGGCAGCCATTTTTTATAGGAAGTTTCTTTTTTGCACACAAAGTAACCTCTGAACAACGGCCAAATTTTGACATTCCCGTCAGTGGCCGTTGTTAACAGGTTTAATTTAAAGACAGTCTAAAAATGCAGTAAAACCTGTTCAAAACGGAACCCGAGTACAACGGAAACCTGCCTAAACGGAAAAAGATCTTTAGATCAAAGTGATTTTCTATGTTAACAAAGAAAAAACCTGCGCAAAACGGAAATATGCAGCCGGATAAAATATTCAATGTCGCGTGATTCCGTTTCACACAGGTTTTAATGTATAAATAAATTGAAATTATTAAAATTATATAATTATTTACATAATTTATTTATACAGTAAAACCTGAGTAAAACGGAAAACCTCACGGCACTGAATATTTTTTTCCGGCTTGGCGGGTTTCCGTTTCTCACAGGTTTTTTTATTAATTAACATATAAAACCAAGACTTTTTCCGTTTAGGCAGGTTTCCGTTGTACTCAGGTTTCGTTTTAAACAGGTTTTACTGTATTTTTACACTATTTCGTGATAAAACTCAGAATTAAGTAAAAATTTTTGCAAGATTGAAAACAATTACAATTACAATTTTTTTTATAATAACAAACTGCTTAAAATCTTAAATAATAATAATAATAATAATAATTTAAAATAGAAAAAAATGAATAAAATAATAACAATTCAGGAAAATAATTGCAAGTACAGTAGTTAAATCACATAGAAATTATTTCTGAAATGCCCATTCATTTCTATACAAATTCTTGAAAAAACTTCTTATAAAATAAAGAAAAAAAAAGTAAGAAATTGAAGTCATAACTTCAGTCGCTTAATCTTATTGAAAATTCAACGATTTGAATTTTAAAATTTCCTTTCAGAAAAATTTAAAATTCAAATTAGCCCTGTTAAAGTTGTTTCTCTCCAAATATTACTTCATATCGGATCATTTTGTAAGTTCATAAATTAAATTTTTTTATGTATCGACGAACAGACACACATACGGACCACTCGGAATTATTTACTAAATTATAATCCCGTGACTTAAATGCTCTGACGTTCCTATAAAGTATCTAGAGTAAAAAAGAAAAGGTGGAAACTCAAACATCAGCCAAAAAATAATAATTTTCACTCCTTTTTTTTATAAGGAACATTAATTATGAAAAATTCCATGTCTAAATTTGATTTTAGAAAATATATTTTTTGGGGAAAAAAAAGAATTAATTTTTTAAATGAAAGGTTTTCNTACAAAATTTCGGGGATGGGTAGGAAGCGTTATGTGAAGGTGGGGCGTGATTGCACGCGCGCCCGCTACTGTATACATTTGAAATTATTAACGTCTAAAGCCCACCAATGGCCGGACCGAACACTGGTGGGTTCGCACCTGGCCACGCGAAGTTTATTCACGTTAGTAATACCTAAATAGGTGTTTCTTTCGGGAGGCATCACCCTCGGCAGATCCTTCATGTGTCTCCTCGTCGTATACAAACAAAACAAATTCATGTGTAAAATTGCTCGAGGACTTTATAATCACCTCCTGTAAAAAAATTTAAAATATATACGTACGTACATAAACTATTTCATACGTCAGAAGTTGGTGTAATCTCTGTAAACCTGTTTAGTGTCATTATGGCCTGGCTGTCAAGATAACAGAAATTTTCAAGATTCCAATGGATGCCGAGTAATTTCGATAATTCGCTGTCAATAGGATCTTCTCGACTGCGTGAAGAAATTTAATATAAATCTATTGATGTATGTTTTATTTTTTTAAAGTAAAGAGCTGATAAGATTCGTATATTTAAAGTGAAAGCAATTTAATAAATATTTGATTAAAATTTAAATAAAGTTTATTGTGATTGTCTTTCAGTATATAATCTACAGTTTAGAAGAGTTAGGGCTTTGTATACATGTATTTTTCTTTTTGAAATTTTTTCTGTGATTTGCC